TTTCGACGAACGGTAGCTTCAGATGTGGTGCCGCTTCCGTTGGCGCCTGCCGATGGACAACTTAACCGATGAACTGATTTAAACAGAGATTGACAAAATCATTTCGAGTGTGAAAAACAATAGTGTTCCAGATGTGAATAACAAAATGCGTGAAATAGTACGTATAGATCTATCTGAGAGTGATGTTAGCAAGTGAATAATCAAGTATTTCAAGCTTTGCCACGACATCATCGATGACAACGATTATTAGCAGTTCGTTACTGTAGAAAACATCAGACAGCAGTCTTGTCAGGTCATCATCGCCTGATCAGAGCCCCTGGTTCTGCGAGAAGAAGTGGAACATACAGTACTTTTCCAGACCATAGACCGCTCGGCCAATTGATCACCATACCAAACCGCAACCCTCACGCCAACAAAAAAAAGCCATCATTGTAGGGGCAAAAAATGAAGGGCCCAGTTTCATATGACTATTTGGTCCAGATGTTGCAAACTTTCCATATGCGACAGTTAGATATAGGGTAAACAAGACGGATTAGATTATGAAAATGGTGTTAAAAATGGTGTTAAAAATGGCCAATTCCCAGATGTTTTCGCGCTAGAGGCCCGCAAATAACGACGTTTGAGTTGGTCTTTAAGCATGACTTTCTATGCCTTTTGGGTTATATGAAATACAGACCATGCATTGGTCGATCTTGAGATAACATGCGGCAATTCCGATAGTCGAGATGAATAGGTGGTATTTGACTTGAATACGAATTTGAACAATAGGCAGTAAGCTCGAATGAATAGTACTTAGTTATGGAGGTTATTCGTCCTAATCTTCACTGTCTACATCCAATGCCCCCTTTTCCTCTTCCTCTTCTTTACTGGCGGTGTCATGATCACTGTTCGAGCCCAAGTCGCACTCCTCGATCTTAGTGAAGTACGTGTTCTCTACTTTCTGAACGCTTCGATATAAATCAACCCAATGCTTGCTTCGGACCTTCTCAAAACTTTCAGCCACCTTGATATTAAGATCTACAGCATTGCTTGCTGGTGCTTTTACGATACTTTTCTTAGCTTGAGCCCAAATGAGTTCAATAGTTGCAGTTCTGGAGTGTATGGAGGAGTGTAGATCACTTCGTGACCATAGGCTCAGCAATTACATGCACATCATAAAGTGGTGGTGGATTGTAGAGCCGTACGAGCTCCATCAATTGGGTTTTAACGAGCTTTTCTTCGTACATAATTCGTACATGCTCACACAAATCAAGTATTAAAAAAAAACTTATAAGTGACAAAAAAATTACCATTGTCGCAAAGCCACTGTTGCATGTCAGCCTTTAGCCAACGCGTCGTAGGAGCCGGATAAAGGTTCCGCTTGTGATAGCTTGCTCCGTCCATAAAGATCTTGCAGGATTTTGGAGACGTGAAGCGCTGGTACAACTGTATGAGTAACTTCTCGAGCCACCTCTCAAATTGCTCTGCATCAAAATTCCTGTGATAGTCACCGTCGTCTGAGCTTGGGGCCGGAATATTGTTGCTTTCTTTTTACGATTAGCAGTCCAGTGTACCAGAGAATTGTCGACGATTCTGCGTGTAATGAGCTGGAGCGACGATACAGCATACCAGCTCCAATGATACATACCATTTTAAAATTATCTGTTAGTAAAAAAAATATCAACTTTATAATTTATACAATAGAGTACCGTTCTCCTTTCCCACTGGGAGCGCAACGTGTTCTCTCAGACGAAAGTCATGTCAAATTCGTAACATGGTTCACGTATGACTCGTCGAGGTAAACCTCTGGACAAATCGGATTGTTGCGAAAATCTCGATTGGCCAGCCTTTCTTGCAAATAGGTTGCCCTATATACAACGTCGTGGCTGCTTTCCGCCATAATATGACGATGCTCTCCTTGGATACAGGAAAACCCTAACCTACGCAGCAGTCGACGCATTGTACGCACCGATATAGTAACCTTACAGTTTGCAGTAATCTCTTGAATATGTCCTACTGTAACTGGAATCAGTGCTAAATTGCTTGCGTTTATAAACTGTCGAACGACGGGTGCGACAACATCCTTGTCGTACAT